GTTAGTTATCTTAAATATTTTAAAAAATTCATTAATTTTTTGCTTTTAATTGTTTGTCACATTGCATTTAATGTCATCTGTATTTTTGAAATGCCTACATTTTAGCATGAGTTTGATTTTGAGGATCCAAAAATACTCTGCATGTAATAAATTAGAAGTGTAAGAGGGATAGTTCTTACTATATGGCATTCTTTAGTATTGAGAAGGGTATGAATTAAGAAAGTTTTATAAAACATTATAGAACCAAACTATCTAGCTTGTTTTTGAAATTATGATCTTATTAAGTTAATTCTTAACTAAATAATCGAAAATTTATAGTATTCTTTATTCATTACCTGAGCTGGCATACAGGGGCATTTCTAACTTTCTGGGGTTCTGGGCTGAGCTTGAGATTTCTTCAGACTCCTTTTTAAAAATTTTTAAATAATTTTATTTATTTTTTATGCGTAAAGTAACATTTAATTGAGGCAGAGCATTAGTGAAGCCTCTTCTATGTGGCTTACAGAATTGTGTTCGTTATCAATCTGTTTGATTAATTTTGATTAAACTTTGCCATTATTCTTTAATTGTGATGAGGAATTCAAAAATATAATTTAAAAAAAATGAGGGTCCATGACTTTATTTTTGAGATGTAAGGTGGTTTCGTGAGCATGCACAAAGAGAAATTGCATCACTTTGTTGCACAATGTCCGAAGGTTGCTATCATATCTTCTGTGTGGCTTATAGAATAGATTTCATTCTCAAAATTTTATGGGCCTATTTTAATAAAACTTTGTCATTTTCTATTGATTGTAATGAAGAATCTAGAAATGTAAATGTAGGAAATAGGAGTTCATGATTTCATTTTCTATATAAAGTGGGGTCAAAGTGACAATGTCCATACTCCTTGAGTATGCCTAATGGCATTTAGGGGCAAAATAAAATATAGATGCAAAAAACAAACAGAACACGAAAACAAAGCAATTGGCAGTGATTGCTTTAGATTTGGTTTTATTCGTATATGGAAATGCGACACGTCAGCAATCTGCCAAGGGGAAATACCTCTCGGAAAGTCTTTTATGGGAAAATGGCCTTTATTTAGGTGTTCTCCACGTAGCTAACCTGTTCTCCAGCCATGAACTGTCAACCAACTACCAATGTTCAGTGGTTTTATCCACTTAGCCACTGGTAGGCATTGGCATCCATTGCTTTGTTCTTGGATTGCCTTTCTGTGTTGGATCTCTGTATGGCATCTAGTACAAGGATCACCTCTCCTGAGACTGGCAGGTGCCTTTTTCGTGATGACAAGTGCAAAGTTCACCTGTCCACGACCATTAGGTACAAGGATTGCTTTTTCTGTGTCTAACAAATGCAAGGACCACTTCTTTCTTTTCTGCTCTGCCTGAATTCTATCACGATATGACAAAGTTGCGCAATGTCCTAGTTAACCACTATTGACTTTTACAAGCTTTAAATATAAGTTAATTAAGTAAAGCATTGAGTAGGTATAAGAAAGTTTGTGTTGACCAGTGACCACATTACAATTATTTTTTTACTTTTAACAAGAAATTTTATTGTTGTTTTATTGAAACCGTGTTGTTATTTATGTTTGTATACTGGCACAATGAAGTGACCTTCTTTATCAACACTTGGCAAGTTTTCAATCTTTATTCAGTCAAAAAGAAATTTTATATTGGTATTGTGTTTTGGAGCCTCTAAAAGTTGGAGGACCCTGGACTTAAGCACTATTAACCCTTGTATATCTGCCACTTCTGACATGGTGTTATGATTTCTTTATTTTCAACAGATTATCAATATTTCTTGAAGTTGAATGACTTGAAATTTAGCATATTACTTCATATCTGACATTGGTAATGTCTTTATCATTGATATATATATATATATATATATATAAGTTTTGTTTATTCTTTTATAAAACTTATATTAAAGTTTACTGTTTGCTTTTTTTCTCTGCCATTACAATAGCAATACACATTACATTGTGTTTAAAATCTTAATATGAAAGCATGCAAATTACAGATATGTGAATGAGATAAAATAGAAAAGTTGGATTGTTTAGCTCTCGTACATGAATCTTATTTTCAAATGCTTTCACATATTTGTAATTGGTTCATTCCTGGAATTTAATTCTTAATGATGCATAGTTAGATTATGATATAAAAAATAAACCAAATACACATAGTGCAAATGAACAACTTTTAATGAGGATAATTTTTTGAAATATTAAAATTTTTATATTTCTATCAGTTTTACTTGAAAACATCCTTAACTCAGTTAAAAATTTAACCTAGACACTAATGTAATGTTTTGTAGAACATCAACTGTATGTATTTATTTAATATGGTGCCAATTATAGATGTATTTTCTGTTGATCAACTGTTGCTATCCAAAAATGTTTCTGATCTGGAAAATTATTTTTTAATAAAACAAACAACTTTGGCTGCTTTCATCTTTAGTGATATTTATAATACTTTACATTTTCTGTTTATTTCTCAATTGATTTATTACTCAATGTTTGAATAAATTGAATTGATCCATGTGTCATTTTAGTTTCTAGATGGTAAAATTTATTTGGTTAATGCATAGTTAAAACCTGAAGATGGTTGATAAAAGCAGCCAAAAAGGTTAGTTTTGTTTAAAAAATATAGTCTGCTGGATTTATAATAAAAAAAAAAAAGGTTTTTGGATAGCAACATTGAATAAACCTAGTTAGGTTCTTACAAGATTTACATCAACTGTTCATATCTAAACAGTCTCTTTGTAAAGAGAAACCAGTCACAGTCCTTACATAATGATTTATTTTGTATTGTTCAAGTAAAATTTTAACAGTTGAGTAATATTATAGATAACATAAATAAAAATTTTGAAATATTAATGAAAATTAAAATGATAATTTGAATTGTAATTTATGTTTTTAGACATTAGATAAAAGTACTTTACCCTCATGATTCTATTACAACACAGCTAGCAATACAGCAGCTATGCAATAATGAGATTCCGGTAAATCTGATAGATATAAGTACATAGAACAATTTACATGCCAATTCATAAGTGATTGCAAAATGATTGAAATATCTACTTTATAAGAGAATCTTATAAATGTTGAAATAATAATTTTATCTTTAATTTATTTGTAAGATGCTCATGATATAGTCTATAAATTTCTTGCTGTGTAAGATGTACTTGTTTGTTTAGTATTATTTAAGGAAAAATAGCATGTTTTTGAAGTACGGAGATGTGAAATTATAATGTAGAGTCTTTTCATAATCATATCTTTCTAGAACTGTTTTAGTTAAAAGTTAGTAAAAATATCAAACTTTTCTTTAAAAGAGAAGAAAATGTAAGTTTTGAATTTGATTTTCAGTTTATAAAAATTAATAAGACAAATACCAAATACTATATATATACAATATAACCTCTGAATAGCAGACACTGTTGGGATCAAGAAGTTTGTCCACTATTAGGAAGTATATGCTGGCAGCTATACTGTATTTTAACATGGTTATCATGTAGTGAAGAATAAGACAGATTACAAAAAATTAAATTTTTATTAGGAATTTGAATATACCAAAAAGTATAAATAGGATATATAATTAAAATAAATAATATACCATATATCTTTTTAGTTGTAAAAATCTCATTTTAATTAAATTCTAAATAACAAATAGGTTGGATGTGATACTTTAAATGAAACATAAAAATTATGTCAAAACATAATGTTGATTAATTATTAATTCATCAAAAAGATGATGGTGAAAGTAATGAAAAAGAAAAATGAAACTTCTGTTATGAACAGAAAGGTGGACAAAAGTCAATTAGGTGTTGAAAGTTTTAATGTATTTTATTTAAAAAATTTGTTTATATAAATAGAAGTTAGACTATATCTCCTTTAACGTGGGGCATATTTCAGTCCAACTTTCTGTGTTGAAAACAAAATGTTTTCTACATAAAAAAGAATTAAATGTAATGTAGAATTTATTTAGCTTAATTTTAAGATTTTGATCATAAATGAAACAGTTTATTAACTCTTGGAGCTAATTCATTAATTATAAAAAATTTAAATATTCAATGGATTGTAATTGCATTATTTATATATAGAATGTGAATTACTGTTCACATCCTATATCAAAATAGGAGAAGGTAATCTGCCAGAAAGTTGATGATAGACACATTGATGAAACTTTGAAAAACCCCATATGCACAGTCCATTAGTGATGTGCAAACCTGCATTGCCATACTCCCATCAGACCAGATCTTTCATATAAAACTTTCCATGCACTTAACAGAAAGCGTGCATCTTAGCATGTCCCTGTTTGAAATTTTATTTTTGTATAATTAGTTAAATATGAATCTTGAATCAACTTGGTAAATTAACTGGGTGCCAAAGGTCTTTATCATTTTGTTGGTTAGGTAGAGATGCAAGAGCTGTGGTGTATGGTGGATTACATCATATTTATGCTCCTTAGTTCTTTATTTCAATGATTTCAATGTCCATATACATATACTTAACACCTTATTCTTGCTGAGAAATATAATTTATTTGAAACAAACAAACGTTTTCAGCCTGATTCACAGGCCATCTTCAGGTTTAGAATACATTTGAATTAAAATTCCATCAAGAATAAGGTGTTAAGTATATGTATATGTATAGTGATTTGCTGAGTACTTTATGATATGATTTCAATGTCTTTCTAATGTGTATGGATCTTATCTCAAACTGTTATTCATTATGAGTATTGAATATTTGCCTTATCGTGTCTGTCTAACAGATGTTTGTCATTTTCAATTATCTGGTATCTTGCTTCATTTCACTGCTAAGGTAAAATTCATCTTCTTGATGATGTCATGATGTAAAACAAATAAATATAATGTTGAAATTGTCAATATTAAAATTTATATTAAGTCAAATTCAAGTTCTTGTAGTTTTATTGAATTAAAATTTTTATCATCAAATTTGTTTACATAAATTAGAAATTTTAATTTTAAAAAACTTTTTACAGTTAACATTTCGGAATAAATTTCTTGAAGCGCAAAAGAAATGCTGGATAATATGCGTGCCACAGAAAAATTCAGTAAAAAATGACATTAAGGTTACAAAACATTTCATTGGTAAGTTTAAAATTTAGTTTCAGTATTAAGTCACTATGATTAAAATTTTAGTATTTTTATGCTTTAGTTTGTTAATAGATAATCATTCATTGCCTGAAGATCTTTTAGATTCATGTTATGGCTAATGGGAATATTAGTCTGTTATAGATCTAAAGCTGTCATTGTTATCAACACCAAGTTTGTTTGTACCCCAAAATTCATTCTGTTCTGGGGTTTATGAATCTTTTGTCCTTGCTTCTTTCTTGTCAACGTCCCAGCACCAAGTGACTTTTGTTCACTCCTACCTGTCGATATCCACATTCTTATTACCTTTGTTCTCACCCCCATGCATTAGCTATTCACTTTCGTTGATGACTCATTTGGTCTTAATCTGATGCAGAAATGATAAAACAATTATCATTAATTACTTTAATGATGATGATACTATAACTCATGTTTGTGAAAATTGCAACACCATGAAGGAATTGTCAGAAATTAATGAAATTTATTCCACATATTACTGATAATGGTACAAATAAACGATCAAATTTACAAGACAAAAAAACAAAAAGAACATTGGAAATCAGTATTTTGTGTGTCCGCCACGCTGAGCGATGAGAGCCTGTACACTTCATGGCATTGGATCATACAGGTTCTGAATGTAATCCTGGGAAATGGTATTCCAGATGGCTTTGACTTGACGCCAAAGTTCAGTCTTATTGTGTGCCCCACCAGCTGTACAAGCAAGTCGCTGACCAATGAAATCTCAGATATGCTTGATGGGCGACATATCTGGGTAATAAGCAGGCCATGGAAGAAGTGAAACCTGTTGTGCACTGAGAAGGCTTGTGCAGTCTGAGAAACATGTGCACGGGCATTATCCTGCTGAAATACGGCTCCTGGAATACGTCAAAGAAGGGGGAGGACCTCTGGCTTCACAAATTCCTTCATGTAGCAATCACTGTTAAGATTGCCTGCAATGTGCACTAGATGGGATCGACAGTTATACCCAATAGCTCTCCACACCATGATGCCAAGCGTTTGTGCAGTATGATGCTGGATAACACACTGTGGGAGCAGACGTTCCCCTCTGTAATGTCTGACACGTACTCTTCCATCATTGTACTGCAGATTGTAGCGAGATTCATCGGAAAAAACAACTTGTTACCACTGGGCACGCCACACACTGTGTTGCTGAGCTCATTGAAGTCAAAGGCGTCTGTGAATCAGAGGGGAATCCTGGATAGAGGAACCCTTGCATGCAGTTTATACTGCAGAAGACGGTGATAAACTGTGGAGCTAGACAACAAAACACCTGTAGCCATGCTTCAACATTGTGCTAACACACGAGAGGACACTGTACGGTCTGTCACAGCCATGTGGATGAGGTGTCTGTTGTCCCATGCCATTGTGTTATTTCTTGCCCTACTGCCAAGTTTTTGCCTTACTTGGTTCTCTGTCCATTTCTTCCAAACAAGCATCACTGTTGTGGCATTACATTGCGTGCGGGCTGTGATTTCTCGATACGAAAATCCCCCCTCTCGCATACTGATGATGTGGCCTCGTCCATTAGTTCTTGGTATGGCTTCCTCCACTTTTGACAAGGTATATTAACCACCAGTGAAACATTTACCACAGACATAGGAAGATAAACGGATTTCAATGCGTCTTTACAGTCCTTTATGTACCTGGAACAAGCAGCTGATAAGGAGCTGGTTCTTGTTCCATGCATGTGCATCACTTTGTAATTCTACTCATTTGCATGTCTTAACTCACTTTACATTTCCTGTAAGTTTGGTTCAATTTGCACAATTCTTTCGTGGTGTTGCAATTTTCACAAACATGAATGTACTAAATAGATTTTGTTAAATTGTTAACCTTCTTCAAATGCATAATTCCTTAATTAACAAAATTATATAAGAAAAAAATGACCTTTATTATTACAGTAACCATTAGAAGACATTAAAATCTGGTTTTAAACATTACAAATGCTCTAGAATACTCAATGCTCTTTAAACATCACACAAAAATGAAGATATTCTTTGAATTGTAGCATTTGAAAACATTTTTCTAATTTAAAGGTATTTTAAAATAGTTTTATCAGTTTTTTTTTTTATTTTTATTTTGTGATGATTTAAAATCAATATTTGAAAACATTTTACAAAATCAGTGTCTTACTCAGACTTCACTTCCAGTAGCAATTGTCTTTTTTATCCAGGATAAATGAAACAAAAAAGAAATATATAGTAGAATATCAAGTATGTAATATGATAATTATCCATGATCATAAAAAGCAAGTAAAATATGTTCATGTTTCTTTTATGCCATTAAAAGAAACATGACACAATGCCATTAAAAGAAACATTCAACAACTTATTTTCCCTTCTCTGTTATATATAACAGAAGGAAGGTATGGTGATTGGTCAAAAAAATGACCCCCAAAGATTTTTACATTTTTGAACTTGGGACCATAAAATGTCAAGAAATGCAAAAAAATTTGGGGTTTTTTTTTTACTGTATGTGTCCCCCACAAACATTCATACAATTTTGTTTACCCTCTGAAACTTAATAACTCCTGTGCTTTTTGTTGAAAATTAATGAAATTTTGCAGAGAGGTTTGTTTATTAGGATGATTGATGCTATTAAATTTTGGTGGTTAAAGGTTGAGATGATGGGAAGATAAAGGAGTCATGTGTCATATCTTCAGCAGGGTCAAACTTAATGATGATTTTACTCATTATTAGCATTTACAAATTTTTATAAAACCATCTCTATCCTCAAAATTAAGCTTTTTGCTATTTTATAATAATTAATAATATAAAAAGTTTTTTAAATAAAATATGAAAATAAATGATGCCACAAATCTTGTCAGGAAAATTAAGCAACTCATTGCTGGATTTTTTTTAAAAATTTGTTAGTTAAATTTTATAAAATAAAATTATTAATAAACTACTTAAAAGACAAGTTGAGTTTTAAGAGTTTCATTGTAAATGTTGATAGATAGTAGCATATAGCAAGAATTATTTGCACAATTGACTTGAGATGTCAAAATCTATAAATGAATGTGATATCTAAAAAGTTTGGATTCTAAACAATGTCAGATTTTTTTAAAATAACAGAATTATATATTAATGAAGTATATGAGAAATAGAATTGTGATGTGCTTCAAATTAATAAATTACTTTTTATCAACTTCATAATGACACTTGAATTTTTAATTAAAAAATATAATAATGCTTTTTTGGTTTTTTTTTATGTCAATAAATACAATTGAACCTGTTTGTCTCAAACATGTTTATCTTAAACCTCTTTATCTTGAAGTTTATTTTTTCCCTTTGTTTTCAGCCCAAATTCAATATAATTTCCATGTTTATCTCAAATAATTTTATCCCAAAATTTCTATATCTCAAATTATGGACTGCAGTGTCAGTAACAAATTTAATGCTCAACAACTACATTTTGATAGCATAAATTGTAGTTGAGAAACATCTCTTGCAATACAGTACACAGTTGCAATTAATGCTACTTTTCTCCAATCAACTATACATTTGGCTTGCATCTTATTGGAGAAAATCAGGTACTAGAAACTATTTCTGTTAAGGTATGTCAAAAGTGTTTTATTTATACCTAATACAGGTATGTACTGTATTTACAGTAGTTTATTATTACAATAGCATCTCCAGTCAAACCTATTACTGTTTACTGTGTAGGAACCTCTATATCTCAACTAGTCCTTTTCAAATTTTATTTTTCTCGTTTCCATGAGATTTGACATAGACAGGTTCAACTGCATATCTATTGAAATGACAGTTTTTAAAATTAAGCTTGAAATATGAAAAGAAACCTTAGATCGGCTTACTAACTTTACTATTAATAGAAAGCATGTTTTTGACTGCTTTTATAAGTCTTCATCAGGTCTAAATAAAAATAGAATTGTACAAAGTATAATTGTTCATATGCTATATTTAAAATTACAAAAATAAAATTAACAGAATGTAAATAAATGATAAATAACCTTGCATATATGCATATATATTTAAAATAAAATTATATTATTTAAATAAATATAATGAGTATAATTGGTATAACTTAACATGCATTCCTGTCTACATGATATTCTCTATACATAGGGTTGCCAGATGTCCCAATTTTCCAAGATTGTCCTGGATTTTTCCCAACTGTCATCTAGAGACAGAAACTTTATTCTAAAAATTGTTCCTACAATGAAGTATCTTATTTTTTATTCACATTTTAAATGTATTTATCACTGGCAGAGTAAAAATATACATCTTACTGGGACACTTCAATTTCAGGACAAGCATCTTTTGAGAAGAACTCATTTTGTCCTGGATTTAATCCCCAAGTATCTGGCAACCCTATCTATTACTTCTGCAGATCTTTGATTATTGTAGTATTCTTATGCTGTTATGCTGATGTAAGATTTATTTATATGATTTTTGAAGTGTCTAACCAAGTTGTTTACATTTCTATGTAAAATATTGTTCTATTCTCTATTTGCATAAAAGTAAAGTGACCAGATGTCCCAGATTAACCAGGACAGTCCTGGTTTTTTACTCCTTGTCCCAGCTTGAAAAAATGCCCTAGTTTTGAATAAAATGTCTTGGATTATCCCATTTTTATTTATAAGTAAANTAGATAAATGCCCTTTCTTAAAGATGATATTGATATCCAAGAAGTGTATCACTATGGAACTTTTCTGCTCTAGCTTCAGGTTTAGGCCGTCTTTGTTATCGTTGATTCTTTCTATAAAATTACTACTTTCTTGATTATTTTTCCATAGTATAAAGATATCGATAAAGAATCTTCAAATACCGGATTAATATAAAAATATCACTTACTAAAACCAATAACCGGTATTAAATAATTAAATAATGCGAACGTTTTCGGTTCTTTTCCTAGGACCTTTCTCAAGCAGCGATTCGTATTTAGAATAACTATGAACGAAGACCAGTAAATAGCGATATTCGAAAAATTATTCTTCCGAACAACATTTCAAAAGTCAAAATTCAACGTTAATGTGAATCACGTGCATTCCCGAATTCCGTAAATAAATTCAATAAAAAATAAAAATAAAAAATGTTTGGTTTAAAAATTCCTATGCACGATGTTTACACCCTATTTATGAAATGTATTATTAATGCGTATCTTCTTTCTGTAGTAGGGCCTGCCATGCAAGGGATAGGGTAATTTCATCCCTCGAGTTAATAGGTTCAGACGTGTTGTATGCCTTGCAGATCTCCATTTGTTCCAACCATTTGATGTGATCCGTAAATTTAGTGGTAATGAGGAGTTTAGCGTTATCAAAGTCTACCGAAATTTCCGGGTCCGAAGCATACGTGGATAACGAAGTAGTAGCCCTGTTGTGGATGATGTCACTTCTGTGTTCCGCCCATCGGACACCAATCGAACGCTTAGTAGCACCAATGTAGATAAGTTGTCTCTCAAATCTGTGGTCCACGAGGGGAACAGCGTATACCCCTGGCAGCTTATCCTCCTTAGGTTTATCTTTTTCATTGCGTAAAAGCTTAAACATAGACGGACATCTTCTGAACGACAGTCGTAATCCTTGTTTTTTAGCGATTTTTTGGTATAAGGATACGAGGAAGGGGTTTTATGTGACTATTGTGATGGGTAGGTCTTGTTCTATACTATTCCCCGTCTGTGGCGGTGGTAGGCCGACGCTGTAATGTCGGGCTAACTTATGGACCATGTTATAGAATCCCTGCTGACCGGCGATGTTAAGTATATAGTTCAATTCTTGAACTAATGCCTCCTGAGTTGAAGAATGGGTGTGGGCCCTCTTAACCAGTGCTTTAAAGGCCGCCATTTTATATCTGAATGGGTCACAGGAGTTCGCTGGGATATACATTGGAAAGTGACAAGCTTTGCGGTATACAGAAGTTTCCAAGGTGTCTCCTCCAAACGTAATGCTCAAATCAAGAAAATGTACATCCTTATCACTATGTTGTTCCAGCTCTATGGTAAGGTCATACGGATTGTCGTTCATCTGATTAATAAAGTGGGTGATGTCTGGGTCGTTTTTCCACAAAATAATGATGTCGTCTATGTATCGTTTGTATACTAAGATGTTGTGGGAGAAACCAGGAATTGTTTTATCTTCCAGCTGTCTTATTACCAGTTCACAAAGGTCGCCTGAGACTGCACTTCCCATAGGCACTCCTCTGCCCTGCGCATATGTGGTTCCACCGAAATGAAAAATAGAGCTGTAGCAGATCAAATGTGCTAGTTCAAGTACTTGCTGGTGTAACTCCTGGTTATAAACGTTACAGAATAGAAAATCCCTGAGTGCGCAAAAACATAATGGTAATTGGATGGAAGGATATAAAGCACGGAAATCCATAACAGAGATGTACGCAGGCTTTTCGGAGTTTTTGAGGCAAGCTATTAATTCAACCGGATTGGAGATTGTGTATTGGTAATCCTGTAACTTAGGAGAGATGAGATCGTGCATGAATGCTTCCAACTTGCGAGTGGGGGCCGTGGCCTTATCTACCACAGGTCTCAATTTGTGGCCCTGCTTATGCGTTTTAGCAAACGCGAAAAGTNATATATATATATATAAATGAAAATTCATCTTAAATTAGTTTTTTGAATGCATTATATAAAAATTTTATGAATTTGTAAAACTAAACTATTATGACATCACTAATTTGTATAAATGATGATTTTAGTTGTACTGGTCAGCAACTGAAATGTTGGAATTGCTGTATTACAAGTCATCTAAGCACTGATTTTAAGCACTTTCAGTTGTTCTGCTAGATTTTTCCCCTTTTAATCAAGTTGAGACTAATTGTACTTTGTTGATTTTTGCACATTTAAAAACTGGAACTTTTGTCATTGTTAAATGCAAAATATACAGCAAATGCAGGTAGCTGCTTTTAACAGTTTCTTGCTTTTTAAAGATGCTAAATTCCTATAAAAGTTCTTTGTTTTTCTTTTATTCAGAAGTCATTTGTTTAAATCTTGTAAAATGAGAATTATTTCTTACCTTAATTGCTGTTTCTATGTCTTCTTCTCGCATGATTGTTTTCAAAATCTAATTTTCCAAGGCATTTTCAAAACTCCATCAGATTTAAAGTTTCAATTTAATCTGAAATAATAAATTTAAATTATATACAGAATACNGTCTCAATTTGTGGCCCTGCTTATGCGTTTTAGCAAACGCGAAAAGTTTGGGTGTATCAGGTGCGTCCATTACAATATCCCGCATTCCTAACGTAGAAGCCAGTTTAGAGTTAGAGAAGCGTTTGATCTTATTGTGTAGTTTGTCAATAATGTTGTTTGGTTGTACGACGCATCTCGTATCCTTAATGTATTCTTGCATCTCCTTTTCATACATGTTCCTTTTTATTAAGACCAACATTTTGGTTTTATCAGCTTTGATGACCGTAATATTATTATCGCGCCACCATTTAATTGCGCGTGACAGGTCTTCTTTAAAGTAGCGTACTTGCATAGAATCCCTTCGGTTTGTAAGCTTGCAAGAGGCAATCCATCTGTAATACTCCTTTTGCACAGTCAGCATGCCCTGTATCAGCCTTTCAAGGTCAGGTATGCACGTTTTAAGGGTCTCTCTTCTGGTAGGAGTAGGTGCATATGCGGGGCCAAATTCCAAAATCCTTTGCACAAATTTAGGAACCTGTATGTCGTCCCAAACGACAAAAGGATATTTATGCTGTGAACGGTTAGCTGGAAGTTGAAAGCGTAGAATCCAATCGAGTTTCTTGCGGTAATGGATTTTAAGTTTATGTCTAAGCTTTTGTTGAATATTGGCTACTTTTGCATTTTCCACTTCAAGTAGGTGTGGATTCTGTTGGAACATGTTATTCTCTGTACTTATCAGGGTACATTTATACCCTTCAATTAAAATTGAGTGTAAACTCTCATAATCTGGTAGCACAAGATCCTACAATAGTAGTTAAAGAGTTGCAAGATATAGCTCTGATGGATGAGGAAGTGGGAACAGTATTAGATTATGAGNATTTATAAACACAACAAGGTATGTACCAATAAATACAACTAACCTAGTAGTTATTATTACAAATACCAAACAGTCAGATTCTTTATTGGGCTATAAGGCTAAATGAAGCTGGAAAGCAGCATTTAGCTTTATAGCCAGATAAAAAATCCAGCTGTTTGTTTTGTATTTGTAATAACTATCAGATTAGTTATATTCATTATACAGTAAAAACCCATTCAAAATGGAACATTAGTAAAACAGAAACCTGCCTAACAGGAAAAACTCTTTGGATGCAGTGATTTTAAGTGTTTAAAAAAAACCTATTCAAAATGGAAACCTGCCAAACTGAAAAAATATTCAGAACCTTGCAAGCCCAGTGTACACAGGCTTTACAGTATATACAAATTTGGCAGAAAATTTTAATTCCTACATAATTTGTATAATTGCAAGTTTCTTAAATTAAACACTAACAAATACAACCATATTTTTAAAAAAATTTCATATTTTTTCATTTATTAATATAAAACTACAAAATAAATAATAGAGTTGGCATATTGATATAACTTAAAATTATATTTTAATTTATAATTTCATCACAAAAGTCATGAAATGTACGTACAGAAAAATAAATAGATAAAATTTTATATTGTAGATTTTGTCCTCAATTCATATTTTTAGTAAAATTATAATATTCATCATGTATGAATATAGCAATCACTCTCAAGTTCGCCCTCGGTTACGCATGCAGGGAACAGGTGTTCCCCAGCCGTTTTAAACGCGTGTATTTTTTAATCCATTAAATGCTGAAAAATGATGTCTTCAGTACCTTCCTTTAAAGTACTGAAGATCACACTGAAAAAGTTTCAAATCTGTACGAATGAAAATTTTTACAAAAAGCTACACCAAAGTTCAGGGGTGACCATTGTACCCTGTGTGCCTAACGGAGGAAGTTTTATTAGCATGACTAATTGAGGGTGTGGAACAGAGTTACGATTCTGAAAGAACGCTCATCCATCTGTAGTATTCTTTGTGGATGTCCTTCATGCCCACTATCATCCTTCCAATATGCAGCATCACACTATCCAATAATGGCTTTGGGGTTCCCGAAGTATACATCGGGCCACGTGCTAAGGTGTTAATGAGATAATCCGGCAGTGAGATGTTATCCCAACAAACCAATGGAAATATAGGTACGTCCTCCCTAATGGGTCTCTGCTTTCTTAAAATCCAATTCATTTTTCTCTTGTATTTTGCGGACAGGTTCCTCGCCAAGATTTCCTGATATGCAGCTGCCCTTTTGTTTGCTTCCTGTAGTGCCGATATATTTTGCACGAACAGAACATTTTCTTCCTTAATTAGTTTATCTAGTTTGGAATATATGCACCTTGTTGTTCTAATTGCTTTTTTCAAACATAGATATCTTAGATATCTTAGCTTTGGCAAGGCCAGGTCTCCAACAAACCTTCTCGAAAAAGCAGTCCATAACATTGCAACGGACTATCTAAGGGATTACGATCTAAATGTCAAGAACCCCAAGGAACTAATAGAACTATTAAGGCAGACACAGATAACAGATTTGGCCCTTCTTCACAGTGTGTGACTTTATATCGTTATACCCATCGATTAAGTTACAACCGTGCTTTTGCGCACTGAGGGATCTCCTATTGTCCAAATTCAGAACACTTACATATCGTAAACAGATCTTGGAACTGGCACATCTCATATGTTACAACTCTATATTCCAGTTTAACAACAGGACCTATCTACAAAAAATGTGGGGTACCAATGGGCAGCCCACTGTCTGGCAACTTATGTGAGATGTTATTACGTAAATGAGAAAAAAATGTCATACCAAAGTATAGATCGAATATAATTATTTATAAGAGATATGTGGACAATGTCTTTATCTTGTGTAAAACGATACCGAATGTCAATGATTTTTTAAGTCACATAAATAACAATCTGTATGGGCTGACCCCAAAACTGGATCAATTGACAACCACCACTGCCCACTTTTTGGACATTAACATCAACCTCAATGGTGAAGTGATTGAAACGGGTATATATTATAAACCTAGCTACATCCCATGGTTCATACCGGCAAACTCAGCTGACCCTTACGCTTATAAGGTCGCAGCATTCCGAGCGTTAGTTAGAAGAGCATTTACGCACCCTTCTAAATGGAGTGACACGATAATTGAACTACAAAATATAGAATGCATCGCAGTGGCACATGGATACAAGAAAGGGCTAATACAAGGGCTAGCACGAGCCTATTTTCAAACACGGGATGCAAATGATGTACCCATTACTCAAAAGGCTATTCAGGACCCGACCAGCAGACACATCATCGATGAACATAACCAACGATTTCAAGCATTATATGAAGAAATTGCAACAAAGACGAACACTAATGTAACATACAGAAGATCCCCTAATATATATCAATTATTACGTAATGCAAAGGACAAACAGGACAATCTTAAGGCACAGGGGATATGTAGTACTCCTGTAAGGGACGATAGATTTCGGTGAGAAATGGTGTACATTGGCTCCACGAAGCGTTTTATCCATCAGAGAATTAAGGAGCACAAATACGACATAGACCATGCTCATTACACCACTGCCCTGTCAACCTATGCCACAGACCCGGATATTCACGAAAATCTATCCAACGCCAGATTAATAAATAGAGCCCTTAATACAAACCACATCAGAGTCCTGAAGCCCTGGAGATATACATAGCTGGCCGGGAAAGGAGATGTAAACACCAAAGATGGCAATGTGCTTTCCTATGCATGGCGATACGTATGCGAAGAACAAGGAAACAATGACAATACGTAACACGTGCATATGTTCGAATATAATTTTTTAAAAGTCGTTCGTTCTAAGATTGGAATCCAATTGTTCTTACGAGGGCTGTTCGGAAAGTTTGCTGCCTTGCCTATATGCGGCGCTGCCATCAATTTAATTTTTGGCGGGAATAATTCAGCCATCTGTGCTAGAGATACGATACCAATTTCCGCTTGATTTGTCATAAAGTTTTGCCACGACAGCTTAGCAGATAGTCAGTGTGCACATACTTTGTCAAAAATGGAGAAGACGGAGACTCATGCGGTCATAAAATACCTGACGAAAAAAGGGTTGACACCATCTCAAATCAAAGCTGACATGGATGAAGTTTTGGGAGAGTCTGCTCCTTCGTACACCACTATGAAAAAATTGACAGCCATTTTTAAATCTGGCAGAGAGAATGTGGAAGATGACCCTCATAGCGGACGGCCGTCAACCGCTGTCACTGAAGAAAATATCGACAAAGTTCACGATTCGTTATTAGCAGATCGCCGTTTGAAAACGCGTGAGATAGCTGAGACAACAGGCATCTCTGTCGACCGAGTGCACCACGTCCTAACCGAAAATTTGGGTATGACGANTGAAACTCTCCCTTGTAATTCCAGCCTTTTATTTTTCTGACAGAAATAATTTTTTTATAGTATTTGTGAGACTGTCAGGTGGGCACTCATTAAGTTTTGCGTCGAGTTTTATTTTCGAAAGGTAAAATAGCAAAGGTAGAGAGTGGGCAGAAGATGTCTGTTGTTGCTGGGCAGTACGGATTGAACAGGTCTACAGTAGGCAGCAGTTCAATCTTATCTAAGAAAGATACTGTATTATCAAAAAGTCTCAAACAGCTTAAGAAGTAACAAAAATCATATCTGAGATATAAAAAACATTGAAGAGCTCATAATGGAACCTGAAATGAATCCGATGACAGAAGAACGCCAAGAACTCTTGAATGAAGAACACCAAGAAACTCGGTGAGATATGCTTTCTTCTGAAAAAGAGAATTAATGTCGATATCTGCTATTAAACATTCTTTTGGAAGAAGTGGGATGATGTCAGAATGACGGCCTTACAATGGCATTCAAAACCAGGTTGAGGTTAATACTCTTAGCGATCTCTACAATTACAATGCTATTAATTACTTCTGAAAAATCTTGAAGAAGAGAAAAAAGCAATCGACATTAGACAGATTTGTGGTGTGTCGTGTTTTGAGTAAACAAAGAAAAACAGACAACACTAAGAGCAAAGATAATTGTATATTAACACTAGGAATACAGCCAGAATGGGGTCTTAGGGGAAATATACATACAATAAGACTAGTTGCCTTTCATCCAAGTTCTTGCTATTCTTCCTCCCTTTTCGCTCGGTCCTTTTCTTTCTCCTTACTACCACCAAAATCTTCAAACAGAAAAAGGTATCCCATGATCCTTTTACACACCTTATATACCAATTGCCCCTAGCGCCCCCTCGTGTTACATTCCAAAATACAAATTAGAAAATAAAATAGACAATTATTATAACACACAAATATTTACATTGACATAACGTTACTAATAATACATATACATAATAATAATTTAGTATAAAAGAAACACCACATTTAAGCCTTCGCGAAGAGAGAAAAATAAANAGGTCAACGGCACCCTGTGCCCAATGTTATAATTAAAAGAAGTTTCATACCTCGTGTGTTAAGTTATTGTCGATTCACATGAAGTTCTCATTTTAATCAACAATACTTTGTCTCAACAGAGAGAAAATTAAATACAGTTTTTAAAATCACTGATATAGTTTTAATATGGCCCTAGGGGGTCGGCAAAATTTTTTAACTTGTAAAGGGATCGCATATTCAAGAAGGTTGAAAAACACTGATCTACAATGTTATTACTACCTATACACTGTACATAGCAAATCAAGAGAGCACCATTATTATTATCTGTGGTTTCATCAAATTGCAACCCAAATTCCTTCTATTTTATTTTTTCAATTAACTGAACATTGAAGATCCTTCTCTGTGTGCTATATTCTGTGACTGACGGTGTTATTGGACAAAGGTATTTTTGAAAGCTACTTCCCAGCAGACTCGCCGATCATAATGTTCACCATATCTAAAGCAGCTGGTAGAATGAGTTTTTCTGCAATGGTATGA